TACAAAGTACTCCTTGGGGAAGGGTTTAACCCAGTTTAAGGAGGAAAAAACATTTTAACCGACACTGAAGGAATGTCAGGAAGCCACCCAGGTGGAGCCAGGATGAAGCATCCCAGGCAGAGAACTGCAACGGCCAAGGCCCTGGGGCAGGAAGTAATTTCCAGAGTGTGCTGAACTGTAGTGAGTCAGATATGGATGGAAGAAGAGGCTGGAGATAGGCAGGGCCACTTTGTGCAAGATTTGCAGGTTAGGTTTTATTCTAAGGGTGGCAGGGGCCATTGAATGCCTTGAAGCAGGAATGTTAGCATGATGAAGCACAAAGCCAAGACAGGAACTCAGAGATAAGAGGCAACTGAAGTGCAGCATCAAACACAGGCACCAGCCTTGAAACACTCTAGTGGGAGGCATCACATAATTACAAAAATACTGATGCACGGGCATGGTGTCTGGTGTGCAGGAGAACCTTGAGACAGAGGGATTCACATTTTATCTATTCATTTATTCAGCCACTGACCCATTGACATGCATAAGCATCAGTTAACACACCAGGCTAGGATCCTGATCCCCAGAGGTGACAGATCCCAACCTTGCTCTCAAGTAGTTTAGCATCATCAGAAACTATAATCCAGGCAGTGCAGTTGGTACTGTGATGGGGGGGTGGTCAGAAGTGTCACCACAGAGCATACAGCAGAGTGACCACCTGCCAGGTGTGGGCAGGGGTGCCTTGCTGGAGAATGTGATGACCATTCTGGGTGATAAAAGGATGAGCATGTGTCTGCTAGATGATGATGGGGATAAGGAGGGCTTTCTGGGTAAAAGAACAAGTTTGGGCAAAAACCTGGGGGAAGGGAAGCAGAATGTATTGAGGACAGTGCTAATGGCTCTGGGATGCTGAAGTCTAGGTAGGGGTCAGGTAGGAAAGGAGATGAGAAGTATTAACAAGTCAGAGTCTAATGGTGCCTGAGCTCCACCATGAGGGTGATAGACTTTATTCTCAGTTAAGTGGGAGAGGATGACCACTGGGGCAAGGGCTGTGAGGCAGAGGAGGGGATGGATCTGAAGGTTGCTGAGAAGGTAGAGGGATAGTGCTTAGTGGTTTCATTTGCTCAGCAAATATTCCTTGAAGTCTGGGTGTCATCCTATGTGCCAGGGGATGCTGGGGTGTCAAGATGCTTTTCTTCCTGCCCTACCCCCAAGAAGCTCCCAGTTTGGAGGGAAGACAGAGAGGGACTCAGTTGACAAGGGAGGAAGGGGTGAGTGATACTGCCTCACTGCCAGGGTTACCTTGGAACAGGGGGCAGCAGAAGGACTAGAAAGAGGGGAGGCTGAGGAATTCTGTAAGGGCAGATTTAGAGATACTAGGAAATTAAGGGAAAGGAATACAAATTAGTGAGACTGGGGAGAACTTAGTGAAGGGAGAAGGATTCATGGAGAGGACAGAGACAGGGAAAAGGTGGAGGAGAGACAAATTTGGTGAAGGTTGGGGGGTGGTGATGGTGATGGATTCTAAGGTCCAAAGACCAAACAGCAAGAAGGAGGTGGAGGGTGGCCAAGAGGAAGAGGGAGATGAGGAGAAGTAAGAGAGAGCAGAACAGCACCAAACTAGGTGAGTCCCATAGTCACAGGGAAAAGGTAAAAACACAAGGAACAGGAGGGAGACTGACAAGTACATGTGCAAACCAGAGGAGAGGCCGAGCACTGGTGGCTCACGCCTATAATCCTAGCTACTCAGAAGGCAGAGATCAGGAGGATCATGTTTCAAAGCCAGTCCAGTTGAGACCCTGTCTCGAAAGAGTAGCACAAAAAAGGGCTGGTGGAGTGGCTCAAGGTGTAAGCCCTGAGTTCAAGCCCCAGTACCACAAAACAAACAAACACAAAAAAAACCAGAGGGGAGAAGTCACAAAAATTAAAAACAGAAACAAAAAAACAATGATTGATAAACAGAGATAGATAGGAGGTAAACCACTGAGAAAGATTCAGATATGCACAAAAAAGAAACATGGAGGCTTAGAAACAAGTACAGCATACAGGGACCATCTATTTCTTGTGTTTCACTATTTGAGACTGTTCTAGACCAGTCACCACCCATAGAATGTGTTGGCGAGCAGATGAGGACAAGGGCCTGCTGTTCTGGCAGCCGCAGGAAGGACACACAATAAATAAAAAGATCCAGCTCAGTGACTAAGAAGTACTTTAAAAATTAAGCAGGAGGTGGTAACCAAATGACAAGTGCAAAGATGACTGTACATGAGCTACTTTGAGAAGACCTTGACTGAAAAGATACTGTCTGAACAGAAAGACATGGATTGACAAGGCAACAGGTACTCTGGTCACCAGAAAAACCTGAGGAATAATAGTTTTTCAAGGAGGTCTTAACAATGAGCACAGTGAACAAGGAAGAGCAAATCAGATATGAAGGAAGAATCAGGCATAGGGAAGAAAGTTGAATTTTATTCCACATCTTTTGAGAAACCCTCAGAGAGTTTTGAGTGCAGGCAGGCCAGGATCGTATTTTTATTTCAACAAAACTATTAGTAACAGAATTATGTCGCTGTGCCGAGAATAGATTCCAAGAGTCAAAAATGGAAGCTAGAGTTGAGGGCGTCGAATTTTGAGGGTAGCGTCTATGGTTGTGGTGAACTGGATGTAATGGGAAGACGAGAAGGCTAGGTAAGGGGAAGAGGAATGTTAGCAGGCTTCGACAGCTTGGGTAGGTACTGTTGTGGTATATTGAAGGGAGAGAGAATTTGAGTAGGAGAAATAAAGAGTTCTCTTTTGGATGTGTCAAGTTGGAGATGCCTGAGGGAAATCCAAGTTGGGCTATCAGGTAGCCAGTTGGGTATGTGAGATGGGAGTGGTGCAGAGGTCATGGCTGGAAATACAAGTTGTGGAAACATCAGCATAGGACACACTCAAAGCCACAGAATGGGATGTGGTGACTTAGAAGGTGAAAGCAGATAGAGAAGTGACCCTATTCAGAGCCCTGGGGACATCTACAGTGGGGAGGAGGGAGAACAAAGGTAGCCAAGAGGGAGTGACCTGGAGGTAGACAGATAGCAGGAGACTCTCAGAGGGCAAAAGTACCAAATGTTTCAAGAAGAATGCTGCTAAGAACTGGAGAAAGGTCCAGGAGCAAAGTGGCTTCTAGGTTTGCTAACCTGGACATTCCTGATGACCATGATAGTGGTCATTTCAATCCAGTGGTGGCAGTGGAGGAGAGCCAATTTGGGGGGAGGGCTGGAGGAGGAGGGGGCACAGAGTGTGGTGGGGGGAGAGGGAAGGGAAATCCAGACAATTATGATGATTATTTGGTGTAAAAATGACATAAGAGAGAAAGGGGACTGTGCAGACAGGGAGATGAAGACAGAAAAATTCACTCTGAGTTAGAGCGATTGCAGCAGGTAGGATTGAGAAGGATGGGGAGGCCCAAGGTCACTGAATAGGGGACAAATTCAGAGGCAGGCAGAGAAGAGAGGCTCAGGAGGACCCAAGCTATGTTTGCTGTGCCCATCTTCTAGGTCTTGTTGCTGCTTGCATCAGGCTTGCTTTGGGACTCCCCCTCTGGAGCCTTCCCAAGTCAAGAGTTGGGAACATTCACTAAGGTGAAGGGAAAGAACAGGTTTCCATTCATTTTCAGAAATGAAAATTCACTCAGTCCTGGGAAATATTTCCTGAGGACTTGCCAGGCCCTGCAGTCTCTGAGCTGTGTCTGCCCCATCGCTGCCCTTGGGGACACAGGGAGCAAAGACAGACAGAATTCAGAGGGAGGTGTGCCCTGGAAGGGCACTTGGGCATTGAGGAAACTCAGTGCACACCTTCCCTAGCTTGGGAATGGCTAGCTGGGTATCAGCTTATATCACCTGGCTGTTCATTTGCTTATCCATTCATCCATTCATTCATATCACCTAGTGCACATTTTCTAAGGCTGCCTTTGTCTGGCCCTGAGCAGGGTAGTGCTCAGTACTCCAGGGTGAATTCCATCTGCCCATGGCTCCTGCCCCAACCTGGTGGAAAAGTCGGAAACACACAAACAGGGCAAAGTATGCTCCAACAGAAGACTCCAGAACAGGGGTGGGTAGGGGAGGCATGGGTGCTCCAGAGCCCTGGTCAGGTCGGCACCAGGCCCACTTGGGCCAGCCAGCCATGGGTGAAGAAGGAGTTGGCGAAAGGTCCCACCTGGGCAGTCTGCAGAAGGGCTGAGGGAGGGGGTGAGGGGGTGAGAACAGGCCCTGCTGCCATGTCACACGGCTGTCCCCGTCCCTGCCCCTGGGGGAGCTGAAACTGCATGGAAGGTCCCCTAGGGGTGCCCGCCTAATAAATCCGGTGAAGAGGATGACTGCTCTGGTTCACACTCCCCACCCTGCCACCCTTCCTGAGGCCTGCCCTTTCTACCTCCTGGAGGGTCAAGGATCCCCAAACTGGAATCCAGCCACCCATCCTTTAGCATTCAGGTACACTGTCATTCACCTTTAGAACCAGGATTCTAGACCCCAGACCCCAGCCCTCCTGCCTTCAGATCTAGGAGTCCAGGCCCCAAAGACCCAGGAGTCCAGACCCCAGCCTTCCTCCCTCAGACTCAGGAATCCAGGCCCCAGTCTTCCTCCCTCAGACCCAGGGGTCCGGATCTCCTTCAGACCCAGGAATCAACACCCTTCCCCTCTCCCCTAGTAGCCCAGCAATTCAGCTTCCCAGCCCGGCCTGTTCCTGACATAAATCTAGGTTCGCTGTCCTGCCCTAGTTCTGCCATCCCAAGATTCTGAAGTTTGGACATTCAGCCCCGCCCTTGACCCTTCGGGAAATAAGTCTCCCAGGCTTGCTTCAGCCCTTTCAAGATCGGGCCCCCAGCCCCTCCTCCTCAGGCGGCCTCTCCCCTCTCCCCCTCCCCCAGCCCATGTCCCCTTAAAATACCCGGGATCCCTATGGCAACAGGCGCCTGCGACAGGTGCGGGTGTTATTTACGGGTCGAGCCCGAAATAGCCGGGAGGGCGAGGGGATGGGCGGATGGGGCGAGGCCTGGAGCTAGCGCAGCTTGTCCAGCTGCGCCAAGCAGGCGGAGGCGTGCAGAGCCGGACGGTTCGGAGGCATCACGGAGCTGGGGTCCGCGCAGCTCAGAGGCAGGAGAGCAAGAGGGGCCCCTGCCCAGGACACGGGGTTGGGGGACTCGCGGGCGGCCCTGGGCCTGGAGCTGTCCCGGCCAGGCAGGCCCTGGGAGCCCGGGGGAGGGGGAGCAGAGTGACCCTATAGGGACTCAGAGTCCCTTCCGATTCCAGTTGCCCTCTGAACCCCGGGTTTCTGAACCGCAGTGCAGGCCGCAGCCTCTATGGCTAAGCCTCAATTTGGGACTCTGGGTCCTCTTTCTGAGTCCTAGGGGTGTACCCAAGCCTCCTTTTCTGGATTCCATCGTGTCCCTCAGCCATTGGTTCCCTTTCTCAGCCTCGGTAGAGGCCTTCCGGGATCTCTGAATGGCTAAAGGGACCCCAGCCCCCTTTTTGTTGAATTCCAGTGTGTCTCCAGTTCTATGCCTCTGAACCCCAGCAGGGATTGCTAATGTGCTGTGAATGCTGTGGGGGGGGGTCCTACCGCCTCTCTGGGGAGAATTCCATCCTCTCCTGGGGACCCCAGTTCTTACTCTTCTGTACATCAAAGGGATCTCAAGTCCTCCTTTCTCAAACTCTGAGCCCAAAGGAACCCAGGCCACATTTCTCAAGCCCACAGAAGACCTCAGCTCCTTTTCCTGGGTCCCCCAAACTCTAGTGGGGACTCCAGAGCAGCCCTCAGATCTTAGGCTGGCACTCGGTTCACCTTCCTCTGGATCCCCCAGACCCATTCCAGGGTAGGTAGCCTCAGGGGGCCCTGGCTTTACCTTTGGGCTTCATCTTCTGTGCTGAGTTCTTCTGGGTACTGCCAGAGCTCCTCTGATCGTCACAGGCCTCCCCAGCCCAGGAATCTAGATTTTTTTACTTCTGAACCCCTTCCCTCCAAGGCACCTCTAGTCCATTTGAGGTTCTGTTATTCCTCTTTCGCAATCAGTGCACACTGATCCCCCACTCTCTTGGAGCTCCCAGGCTGCTCTCTGCCCCTCCTCCCGCCTCCTCAGTTCTGCCTCCTTCAACTTGGCCTGACCCCCATCCGCCATAAGATGATGATGTGGTCCAACTTCTTCATGCAAGAGGAGGACCGCAGGCGGGCGGCTGTGGGCCGGCGGCGTGTTCAGGGACAGCAGAACTTCGGCCTGACATCCGAGCGCGAGGGGAAGATCAAACTCGTGCTGCTGCTGGTCACCGTGGGCGCCACGCTGGCCGTGCTATCCGTGGGCACCGAATTCTGGGTGGAACTCAACACCTACAAGGCCAACGGCAGTGCTGTCTGTGACGCCGCCCACCTGGGACTATGGAAGGTGTGCACCAAGCGACTGTGGCAGGCGGATGTGCCCGCAGGCAGGGAGACCTGCGGCCCAGCAGAACTGCCTGGAGGTGAGATGTCGAGCCTGGGTCTAGGGCTTGTGTCCCACAGTCAGTGAGAGAGAGGGGGACAATTGGGCTGTCTGGGAAAACCGTGCCACCGTGCCCCCAGAAAGAGTTGTGCCCCCAAAGAAAGCCTAAGCCCCAAAGAGAGAGCCTGCACCCCAAAAGAAGCTTGGCACAGATCAATCTGTGTTCCCAGAACCTATTCAGAGAGAGCCCTAAGGCAGCCCATGTCCCTTACTGGCTGTAAGGAGCCTGTACCCTAAGACTAGTCTGTGCCCCAGAGAGCATCTAGGCTTCCAAGGACAGCCTGAGCCCCAGACTAGCCTGTCTTACACCACCCTGTACCCTGAGATCGATCTATCTGGTGCAGTCAAACAACCTGTGCCCAGTCCTGACAACTCACATCCCCTAAAACTTCCTGCATTCCAAGACACCTCTAGGGAGAAGCCCCTTCCCACCCTGCAGACAGCTCATACTCCCACCTGTGAGACCTGGGGAGACAGACTATGCTAGGCCCACCTTAAAATAGAATCTGTGCCCTTTCCCCATCCATAGATTTCCCACTCCCCAACCAGGCTCTCACCAAATACCTCCTATCACCTCAGAGTGGACCTGTGCCTTCCAGAAAATATTCTTCATGGCCTGTCTCTCTCACTTTGACTTGCCCAGACTAGACATCCCAACCCTTCTCATTTTCTCTACAGATACTCCACACACCTCACTGTCCCACATAGTAGCTCTTTTGCCCCTAGCTGTGCCAGAGGGCTATCCCATACCTCTCACTCTCTGACAGGACATGCCATGACCTTTGCTTCTACCAATGGGACATTCTACACCCCTTGAGAACTGGATGGGAGCTCTCTCCACCTCTGTTGACCCAAAGACAATATCTGCCACCCCTCAGAGCCCATTTGGTTATCATATTTTCGATCATCTATGTGAGATTTCCAACACTCTGCTCTCCCGATGATCTCAGTATCCTTCAAGAAATATCTCGTGTCCTTCTGAGCTCCAGATGTGCTTTCTCTCATATATTATCTCTCCATATGTGATATCTCACGTCTTATCTGGTATCTCACCGTAGGGTGCACAAATAGGATGTTCTAAGCCCTCCATAGTAAAGTGAATGGCAGGCACTGTTTGTCCTAACTGGCTATCTTAAAACACTTCACTTCTGCAGGTGACCTGTCTCTCACCTCTCAGGGTCCCAAGTGGGATGATCCCAGGCTTTTGCAAAATGGGATGTTCTGGCAATAAAAATATGAGATGCTTATGTAGTACCCGGCTCTGTTCTATGAACTTCACATGCTTTAACTCATTCATTGTCAAAGAAACCCTGGGGATCGTTATTGCCATTTCAACTCTACAGAAGAGAAAAATGGGGAGTAAGATATCCCATGGCTCTTTCTGTGCACCCTGGCTAGTTCTATAGGGTTTGGATCCTGGCTATTTGTTCCTAACCAATATGCAATATTGCATCTCACTTATACACAGAGGTCCCAAAAGTCCTTTCTGTGCCAGAGGGGATTCTCCCCACTCCACACCTCCTGCATAAGATGGGATCCCTTACTATCCCTTGATGTCCCCTCTACTGATCAGAAAGGACTTCACCCTTCTTAAAGGATCATTACCATCATCCCATAATTCTGTGTCCCCACAGGACATGTCACAGTCTCTATTCTCTCAGAGAAATAGCTCCAGCTTCAAAATCAAGACAGTCCCACACCTCCCTTGGCTGCAAGGGGGTGATTCACACCTTGTGGCTTCCCAAATGGGATATGTCAAATTCTCTGGGGGGCCAAAAGATGCAAGATCCTGTCATCAGTAGCCTAAATGAGATGCCAGACACCCCACAATGTCTCAAAAGGGACTCTGCACTTTCTTCACAGATGTAAACCGTGTTCCCTACTGACTGCTACACAGAGCATACTCACCTTGGTCCTGGGACATGAGCATCTTTTATTTCTTGCTGCTGTAGGAACAGATGCACCTGCCACTGCTCCGGACTGGAGACTGTACTCCTCCTTTCTTTGGGCTGCCAGGAAGAGTGCCATACTCCCCTCTTATCAAGTCCCCTTTCAATTTGGAAAGTTCCTTTCCCACTGCTTCAGGCTGTGTGGCTTCCCCCTGTACCCCGGTAACCTATCTCTTTTCTCTCTTTTTGTGCCTTTGTTTTCCCATCTGTAACTTACAGCAGTAGATCAGACTAGGTACATTCTGAGGGAAGTTCTAGCTGTAAAATGAAGTTTAGGAAGTTAGAAAGTTCCTTTTTTTTTCTTTTTTAAGTTTAAGGTTTCTTGGACACAAAGTTGAATGAATCAGACCCCTCAGTAGCTCAAGATGGCCTTGAGTTCTTGCTCCTCCTGACTTTGTCTGTGGGTGCTAGGACTACAGGCATGCACCACCATGCCCACCTTCCTGACTCAACTCTAATGTGTTGATGTACATTCATGGAAACATATTTTATATGGAAACTATATAATGTTAGTTTGTGTGTGTGTGTGTTTGCATAAATGATATCATACTATAGTTTTAATTTTAATTTTATTTATTTTACTTATGAGTCACTTCCCTATCCCTTTTGGCTTTAGTTACCTTTTGGGTAGTGTCTCACAGTTTTGCTTGCGTTGGCCTGGACCTCAATCCCCCTGTTCATGACTCCCACATAGCTGAGATAGCAGGTGCAGGCCACCACACTGGGCTTGTTTTGTGAAATGGAATCTCCCTAGCCTTATGTCTAAGCTGGCCTCAAACCACAATCCTCCTGATCTCCAGCTCCTGAGTAGCTGGGATTATAAGTATGCACCCGTAATAAATTTTTAATTTAACTTAGTTTTTCTTGTTCAACACTGTGAGTTTCAAATCTCTCCAACTTGCCTTATGTTATTCCAGTTCATGGCAATTGTGTGCTACAGAGATTTCCCAAGGAGCTTTCATCTCACTTGTCTATTCCCTGAGAGATAGACACCTAGGTTAATTCCTAGTTCAGTTATTTATAAAAATGCTACAGCAAACATCTGCTGTATATTCATAGTTTTTTTCTGGATGTATTTCCAGAAGTGAAATTACTGGATCACAAGGTATAAACACATAGTCATCACTTAATGATGACGTCTTTATTTTTTTGGTGGTACTGGAGTTTGAACTCAGGACCTCACACTTGCACTTAGGCTTTTTTGTTTTGTTTTGTTTTTTGTTGGGGCCATGTTCTGAGGATGTGCTCAGGCGATTGCTATGAGAACATCATAGAGTATACTTATACAGACTTATAGACTAAGATGGCCACTAGATGATATAATCTTATTATAGGACCTCCTTCATAAGTGTGCCCTCAGCCTGGCACTCGTGGCTCACACCTGCAATCCTAGCTATTCAGGAGACAGAGACCAGGAGGATTGAGGTTCAAAAGCCAGCCCAAGAAATAGTTCATCAGACTATATCTTGAAAAAAACCCATCACAAAAAAAGAGCTGGTGGGGGCTGGTGGAGTGGCTCAAGTGGTAGGGTGCCTGCCCAGCAAGCATGAAGCTATGAGTTCAAACCCCAGTACTGAAAAAAAAAAAAGTGTGCCCTCTTTATGTGGCTCATGAGTGCACTTCATTTTATAAAGCATGTCAGAGTCCTTTTTCCTTTCCAAATAGACTAATACCCGTTTATAACTCCCAGCTGTTTCCTCTTATCCTCCCAACACTTGATAGTGCCCTTTTAATATTTGCCCATCTAATTGATCAAAAGTGGCACCTCCCTGCTGACTTAAGTTGTATTTCTCTGATTCCTGCTGAAGTGAAGACTCTCTTCCTGCACTTGTGAGCTATTGGGGCCTCCTCTCCTGTGAAGAGCTATTCATATCCTTTGCCTGTTTTTCAATGGGGTTACCTCTCTGCCCCTGCTGATCTGCAGGGGCTCTTTGTGCACTCAGGGTAGGAGCTAGGAATCCTCTCACTCTGGAGGCCTCCCATTCCCTGCATCTTGGTATCCTTTGTTGAATGAAGTGATTATCCTTTTTCTAATCCCACTTGACCCTCAACAGACACACAGGAAGGAGCCAGGAAAGAGATTATCATCTCATTTTAAACAGGAAGAATTAGAGGTCCACAGAGGTGAATGGCCCACTCGAGGCCATAGACCTAGATCTCAGAGATCTAGGTTGAAATCCCAGCTCCTGAAGCCAGTGTGGTAGCAAGCATATACATATCCGAGAGTCATGTCTCTCCTCCGTATATCAATGTTCTATTTTTAGGTCCCTGTGAGCTCTGTTAAGTGTCCAGCCTTGAGCTGTCACACAGGACTTCGTGTCACCTCCTCCCTTTTTCCTCTCTCCTGCTCCCGCAGAAGCAAACTGCACCTACTTTAAGTTCTTCACCACCGGGGAGAATGCACGTATTTTCCAGAGAACCACGAAGAAAGGTGAGAACTTTTCATCCTGTGACAAGGGAGGGGTGAGGGAGTTACTGACATTATTGTACCTCTCTGCTTATCCCAGGACGGGATCCTCTTCTATAATCTGTGGGTGACCCATCTTTGGGACATGGTGGCAGTAGGGTTAACAGTGAGTCCTTGGTTGTCCAGATCTTGGCCTGATGGTTTGATTTTTACCTCTGACCCCTAGCTCTGGGTATGCTGTGTGCTTTGTGATTTGGCCAAGTTACAGTTCCTCTGTGGGGTTGGCATTGCAGCATCTCACAAATGGTCACTTGCAAGGACACATGCCAATTCCTGGTAGAGATTGGACTGGCTCAGGATGATCACCTGAAGGTTCATTGGTTTTAAGTGCTTGTGGCTCTCTGGAGCTTGAGTAAGGATTTCCTTGGAATGAGTAGAATTTCCCTTCTGTCCCTTGTCACAAGTTTTTAAACCTCACAGCTTGTATAAGCTAACCACTTGGGGTCTGCTTTTAACTTGGACTAGGGTAAGTCCTTCATGCAATAAGCCAAAAAGAGCCAGAAAAGCAAAACAAAACTAAACCTCTACTGCTGGCAAGTTCTTGCTCTGGTTACCTTGTGGTTGAATCACTTCTCCATATTCTGGATGCTTAATTACAGGACCATTCCAGGAAAATTTCTTCCTAAAAGCCTTCACTAATTTCTTTTATCAAATTATCAGTGATCTCTTGGGTAGTAGTAAGGGTCTTCCAGCTGTTTCTGCATTGAATTCTTTTTTTTTTTTTTTGGTGGGACTGGAGTTTGAACTCAGGGCTTTCTTTGCTCTTGCAAAGCAGGCACTCTACTGCTTGAGCCACACCTCCCGTCCATTTTGCTCTGGTTATTTTGGAGATGGGGCCTGTAAACTATTTTCCCGGCTGGCCTTGAACCACAATCCTCCTGATCTCAGTCTTCCAAGTAGCTGGGATTACAGGTGTGAGCCACTGGCACCCAGACCCTCTATTAGATTCTTTTTCTTTTTCTTTTCTTTTTTTTTTTTTTTTGGTGGTACTGGGGTTTGAACTCAGGGCCTCATACTTGCTAGGCAGGTGCTCTACCACTTGAACCACTCTACCAGTCCTCTGTCGGATTCTTATATGAATAGAATCCTCAGTGCCAGCAGGAAGCAGATTGTCACCCAGACCTGCATCAGCAAAAGAGTTGAAAGTGTGGAGGTTCTGGATTGTGGATACATGATATGACTCCTTTTCCTGGGCAGAAGCAGCCTATGGGAGCAGTTGCAGTAGAAGATGGGCTGGGGGTGGGGCACAGAGCATCAGGAAGCAAGGGGCTCAAGGGGAGGCAGCTGAGTCTTGGAGGTGGCTCAGTGACTGGGCTTTTTTGTTTTTTATATGATCTTAGTCCTTGTCACCATAACCCTGCATGGCAGGCATTTTATCTTCATCTCCCAGATAAGAAAACAGAAGTCCAGAAATATTTGGAATTATTAATCAGGAAGGGGCAGAAGCAGGATTCAAACCCAGATAAATCTGACTCTGATGCAGTGTTTTACAGAATTGTCTGTGAAAATGAATGTGTTCTGTGCTGATCCATATGGCAACCTCTAGCCTCATATGCTTTACTGGGCACTTGGAGGAAATGAGTTTTTAATTTTGTTTAATGTAAGTCAATTTAAAATTAAAAGGCCACAGTAGATAGTGGCTACTATCTACTGTACTGGACAGTGGAACTCCAAAGATTTTGTCCTTTCTGCTCTGAACACAGCTGAGTGCCTCAGCATTGCGACCAGCAAAGGGATTAAGACCGTGTCATGAGTTTTATCTGGATTTTGTAAGGAATAAATGAGATGATGTAGCCTTAATGAGTGTGAAGCTGGGAGCATAGTAGGTCCTCAGAAAATGGTGGTCCCATGCCTTCTTCTACACTCCTTTCTCTCTTACCCTTGTATGAGCTTGGTCAGGTCACTGTGCACTTCTGAGATTGTGAAATAATCCTTGTGCACACATGGACCTCCTACTGTGTGCTGAGCACCACAGTTGGTATTTTACATGCATTATTTCTAATCCTCACCACTGTCCAATCAGATAGGGATTGATTTTTCAAAGGAGGGAACTAAGGCTGAGAGGGGTTCTGGACTTTACCAGAAACTTCCAGCTAGGAAGTGGTTGGGGAGAATTCCAACTCATATCACTCCAGATAATATATCACCTCTGCCACTGTCTCCCACTGATCCTACTGCCTCAGTTTCCTTCCCTGTAAACAAATGGTGACCAGATGATAAGTAACAATTGGTAATTGCCATCTTCTAATTCTGTCTCTGCCCCTTCTTTGCTTCATGATGTTAGGTAAGTAACTGACCTTTTCATAGTATAAATAAAATGTAGACCAGATAACCTATTTGAAAAGTTTTCTCTAGCTTGAAAGCTTCCTTTCTCCTGGTTCTGGGTCCTTAGGAATGAGCCCTCTTCATGCTCTACATTCCATGTTCTTTGCTTCTTCCCTCTCAGAGGTAAATCTGGCGGCTGCGGCAATAGCGGTGTTGGGCTTGGCGGTCATGGCCTTGGGCTGCCTCTGCATCATCATGGTGCTCAGTAAAGGTGCAGAATTTCTGCTCCGAGTTGGAGCTGTCTGCTTTGGCCTCTCAGGTGAGGATGAAGAGCTTTGAGGCCGAGGACATTGCATGTGGGATCTCTACACAGTTTTGCATGCTATACGGAGGGTCTCCCAACACTGTTGCATGCTGTAAGGAGGGTCTCCTGACACTGTTGCATGCTGGGAGGCAGGATCTCTACACACTGTTGCATGCTGGGAGTAGGGTCTCCAAGCGCTGTTGCATGCTGGAATAAGGTCTCCAAGCACTGCTGTGTGCTGGGAGGTGGAATCTCCAAGTATTGCTATTTGCTGGGAGTTGGGTGGGGGCACCTCAGAGATGGAAGAATGCCAAGCCCTATTGTTGGGTAAGGATTTGGAGGGTCTCCAAATACTGCTTTAGATTTGGACCTGGAAACTCCAAGAATTGTTGCATGTTAAGGGATGAGATCTCCAAGCACTGTTGTATGCTAAGAGTTGGTGCAAGATCAATGGCTGTAAAAGTCTCAAAGAAATGGTAGAGTTGCAAGCCTTATTATTGGTTGGGAAATGGATACTGTCCAAACACTTTTGTAGACTTGGCCCTGGAATCCCCCACACTGTTGTATATTGGGAAGTAAGGGGAAGGTCTCTGAGCATTTGCATGCTGGGAGGTCAGAGAAGCTCAAGAGCTATAGAAAAACCCAAAATGAGAGAGTCCCAAGGTCTGCTACTGACAGGTCTCCAGATACTCTTTGAGATTTGGGCTTGGGGTTTGCAAAGACTATTGCATTCTTCTTCTTCTTTTTGAGGCACTGGGATTTGGACTCAAAGCCTCATGCTTGCTAGGCATGCACTCTATGACTTGAGCCACTCTGCCAGCCTGTTGTATTCTTGGAACTGAAGGTCCAGATAGCATGTTGTATCTTGGGAAATGTAGTCCTCAGTGATTAAAAAAAACTTCAGTTAATTGTATACCCAGCTCAGGTCATTGCAACAGATCTGTTAGATACAGAATACCATTCTCCACTTTTTTTCTTTATTCATATATTCATATGTGCATACATTGTTTGGGTCATTTCTCCCCCCTGTCCCCCACCCCCTCCCTCTCCCATCCACCCCCCTCGCTTCCAGGCAGAACTTGTTCTGCCCTTTTCACCAATTTTGTTGAAGAGAAGACATAAGCAATAACAAGAAAGACAAGCATTTTTGCTAGTTGAGATAAGGATAGCTATACAGAGAGATTCCTAGCATTGCTTCCATGCACAAGTGTATCACAACCCGAACTGATTCATCTTTAAGTAACCTTTTCACTACTTCCTGGTCACCTTCCCATATTGACCTCTTTTGCTTTAAGGTTATTGTATTAGCTCCTCTGCAGTAGGGACATCAAACACTTTCAAGTTTTGTGTTTCCTAGCTCAGAAAAGTTCAATGAATTGCTTATAGTCAGACAACCAATGGTGACAGAAACTGGAACTTCTTTTTCTAAAGCGTGGCCCCTTTGCACTGCACTGCACCATTGCATTTTGGGAACTGTGTTCTTGTGGGATCTTTGTAGGCATGCCAGAGCATGGTGTGGTTGAATGAATGCTTCACTGGGGATCAAGCAATCTAGGTTTTATCCTGTGCTCTGCCCTGAATCATTGTGTGCTTGGAAAAGTTTCTATTTTCTGGGCCTTAATTTTCTTGTTGAATCAAATGTTTTTTAAGGTGGAAAAGAAATCATTAGTCATACAAGTTTCATTTCTTTATTCTTTGGGTATTTATGACCACCTGCTAAGTGATATTTAAGTTGGTAATTGTGGGAAAATAAGGCTTATTCAAAGTACAGTGGTGACAACTGTGGTGGTAACAGGTGACGTTGGTGATGGTGGTGCTGCTAATTGCTTGGGTGGTGGTGGTGGTGGTGGAGATGTTGTTGATGATGGCGATGATGAGGTGGTGGTGGTGGGTGATAATGTTGATGATGATGGTGGAGGTGGGGGTGAGGGTGTTGGTGCTAGTGGTGATGATAGTGGTGATGAAGGTGGGGATAATATTTGAGGCAGTGTGACGGTGGTGGTGGTAGTAATGGTGGTGAAATAAAGTGGGCAAAAGTAAAATACTAGGCAAGTTTGAGTTTGAATGAAGATAAGAGCATAATGCAAGGCAAGTCTTGAACATGTGTACACAGAACCTTTGATTACAAGTAAGTGAGAGGCCTGGTGAAGATGAGACTAGGGAGACATTTGTGAGTGTTTAAGAGCACACACAAATGGAAAGTGACGACAGTCATATACTTGTGGTTGTTTTGTTGCCTTGGAGATAGCTAAAGGGGGAAAATTTTGATACTTTCTTTCATTTCATTCATTTATCTAATAGCTTATTTAATTTTTTGACATAAACATGCACTTATATACCACTTATATTGGTGGTACTTGGGTTTGAACTCAGAGCCTCAGGCTTGCTAGGCAGGTGCTCTACCACTTGATCCACTCCATCAGCCAAAGATATGGTTATACATACTATTATCCGAAAGTACAAGATAGAAAGGTACCTACCTGCTTCGAGAATTGTATCTGGCTAACAATACAGAAATAATTCAAGTAATCCTGTAATTTAGGAACTGTAGTAAGTGCAATGAATAAAAGATAGTATTCATACTTCATATGATGCAGGGAGTTGGAGAGGGTCTCTCTCAAGAGGCACACTGAAGATACTAAATTGTAGGTAACCACAGTAGGAAGAGTTAGGTGACATTTAGGACCTGGTCATTGTTCCTGATACACCAGCCTGCTTGGTGCATTGCTATTTTCTCATCATCTCTGGTGGGCATTTGAGTTTTGCAAGCCTCAGCTTATTTATTTACCATCCATTTCCTGCAAGGGGAGTATTAGCTGTCTGAAGGTACAGTCTCTGTCTTGTTCCTTCTTGGCGTTTCTTACTTCTTTTTTTGGTGGGTCTGGGGTTTGATCTCAGGACTTTGTACTTGCAAAGCAGATGTTCTACTGCTTGAGCCATACCTCCAGTCCATTTTATTCTGGATTTTTTTTGGAAACGGGGTCTTGATAACTATTTGCCTGTGCTGGCTTTGAACTGTGATCCTCCTGACCTCAGTCTCCCAAGTAGCTAGGATTACAGGCGTGAGCCACCAGCACTGGGCTACTTTTGCTATTTCTTAAATCAAATGACACCATAATTTGACTTGATACCTTTTCTTCTCATTTGTGATTCACCTTTTTTTTTTTTTTGGTGGCATTGGGGTTTGAACTCAGGGCCTCATGCTTGCTAGACAGGTGTTCTACCACTTGAGCCACTCCACCAACCCTGTGTTGTGTTAGGTATTTTCAAGATAGGGGCTCATGAACTATTTGCCTGGGCTGGCTTTGAACCTCGATCCTCCTGATCTCTGCCTCCTAAGTAACTAGGATTGCAGGTGTGAGCCACTGGCGCCTGGCTTTCTGTGAGTCTTCATTTTTGTTTATCTCTAGCTTTCAAGTGGTGCCTGCTATATAGCAGGTGTTCAGTAAATGCAGTTGTCCCTCATTGTCTATGTGTGTTGGTTCCAGGACACCCCTCAGATACCAAGATTCACAGATGCTTAAGCCACATATGTAAAACGTAGTATTTGCACATAACCTACACAATCCTCCCATACACTTTAAATAATCTTTAGGTGACTCAGAGTGCACGGTACAAAAGAAATTCTATGTGAATAGTTGTTACACCCCCCTTTGTTTAAGAAACAATGCAAAAACCAGGCATGGTGGCAAACACCTGTAATTCTAGCACTTGGGAGGCTGAGGCAGGCGAATTTCAAGTTCAAAGCTACATAGCAAGCTCAAGGCCAGCCTCCACTACAGTCGAGACCGTCTCAGAAAACCAATGGCTGCCAGGCATGGTGAGCTCACACCTGTAATCCAGCTACTCAGAAGGTGGAGATCAGGAGGATCACAGTTCGAGGCCAGCAAGAGAAGAAGTTTGAGAGACCCCCCCCATCTCAACTAATAAAAAGCTGGGTGTGGTAGCAGGCATCTGTCATGCCAGCTATGGGGGAAGCATATATAGTAGGATCATTGTCCAGGCCTGCCCAGGCATAGAAGCAAGACCATATTTGAAAAATAGTGAAAGAAAAAGAGGTTGGGGGTATGGCTCAAGTGGTAGAGTACCTGCCAGGCAAGCAAAAGGCTCTGAGTTCAAACTCTGGTACTGAAAAAAGAGAGGGGAGAGAGAGAGTGAGTGAGAGAGAAAGAGAGAGAGAGAAAACTAAGGGCTGAGGATATGGGTCAGTGGTAGTGTGCTCCCTAGAGTGTGCAATGTTCTGGATTCCACCCCAAGCACCGCACCACACACACACACACACACACACACACACACATGACAAGAAAGATGTCTGTATACATTTAGCACAGATGCAGTTTTTTGTTTTTTCAAGTGTTTTTAATCCTTGTTTGAATCCGAGGATAACAATGTTTGTTGAAAGTGTGTTAGTGTCTTCCAGGTCTCTTGGTTGACAAGGGAGTATATGGGTGCTGAGGGCCTGGCTCTCCTCTCCCCCACAGGCCTGCTGCTCTTTGTGAGCCTGGAAGTGTTCCGGCATTCCGTACAAGCCCTGCTCCAGGAAGTCAGCCCTGAGCCTCCCCCAGCTCCGAGTCTGACCTACGAGTACTCCTGGTCCCTGGGCTGTGGCGTGGGGGCCGGCCTGATTCTGCTGTTGGGAGGTGGCTGTTTTCTGCTGCTCACTCTGCCGTCCTGGCCCTGGGGGTCACTCTGCCTCAAGCGGGGACACTCGGCTGCGTAGAGCCACTGTGCACTTTCTGTAGGCAACGGCCAACACTGTCTCTTCCCCTGGACGCCTTCTACCAATGTCCTGAGAAACCACTTGCCATCTCCACAGAGCTGTTTCTTATCCCCCCACCTCTTCTCTTTGTAAATAGGTTTTTTTTCTTGGTGGCTGAATTTGGGTGGCTTGAGGTACAAGAGGATGAGGCCTTTTGCAAATGTGGGTTCCCTAGGGAAGCTGGCAGGAGACCTGATCGGGAGGCTAGGGCCTGGGTGGGGGTGAGGTTGGGGAGGTCTTCCTTGTCCAGCTCTGGGTTAATTCACTTGCCATAGAGACTTCCTGTGACTGACCTGCAGCGGGGGTGGGAGGGGGATAGGGTGGGGGAAGAGGGGGTGCAGGGAGGGAAGGGCTCCGGCCTGACCTCACTGTGATCGATTTGGGATTAAAAGTTTGGAACTTTGACAATATTGGTGAGGAGTCTGTTTGTGATGTGGTCATGCTTTCTGAGACAAAGCAATGTGTCCCATGATGTCCTCTCTAGTAATGTGCTCCTATCAGCCCTGGAGTCACATGTAACTAATCCATAGAGGTGACAGACAAGGGCATAGAAAACACAACTCAAAATACAGTAGACCCTTGGTCTCCTCGGGTATCTGGTTCCGTGGAGTCCGTGGTTGAGCACTGTGCAGAACTCAGCCAGTGCTGCAGTTGCTTGACTCAGTTTTCCCACCATGGCGCCCAACTTTGCTAAAGACATGCTTGCCTTTCAACAAATCTCAGATTTTCATTTTATCACTTCAATTAAGCATGTTCACCTTACTTTGCTTTTTGGGCACCATTGACTTTTTGGGAGGCAGATTTTCACAAAATGAAGGGCAGAGAAACACTCAGCAGATCACTCAATGATTTAATCCCAAACTACCATGCAGAACCTTCTGAGAACTGCTCATATCCACTGAGCCGTGTAACGTGCACAGGAATTTCAAATTTTTGAAATTTCTTTTGATCTTAAATTAAAACCAAGTGTAATAAGTCCTCAGAAAAGGCAGGCTGACTATACAGACATTGTTATGGGCTAAATTAACAGAAGTCCAGATGCTGGGGACCTGACCTTCAGTGCCTTGTTGGAATGTGACCTTGTTTGGCGACAGGGTCTTTGCAGTGGTAACGGAGGTAAAGTGAGATCACTAGGGTGGGTCCTAATCCAACATGACTGGTCATTGTGAGGAGAGATTGGGACACAGAGACAGACAAGCACAAAGGGAGTACAGTGGGAGGGGACACAGATGAAGCCAGCCATCTACACAGCAAGCAGAGAGGCCAGGAGCAGATCTCCCTCAGGCCTCGGCAGGAACCAGCTCTGCCCACACCTGGATTGTGGGCTTGTGGCTTAAGTTCTGTTGTTCCAGTATCTGGGGACATGTTTCATGACGGCAGCTCCAGCAAAGGAATCCTGACTTTGGTACCCAGGAATTTGGTACTCTACAAATGTGGAGGTGACTTTGGAACTGAGTAATGGCCACAGGCTGGACAAGTTTGGGGTTCATGAAAGAAAACACCTAGATCTTGGGGACACTGAGGAGAAATATGGATGTCAAGACAATTCTGGTGAAAGAAGCAAGGAGCACGTGGAGAGCTGCTGTTGGCTCACAGGACACTGGCAGGAGCTGGAATAATGATAGCAACACTCACAGCCACTGGTGAGGTGACCCAGACCTCATCTCAGGTCTGCAGTCCCTCGGTCAGAGGACCAACTGGCCTTGTCCCTTGTGAAGAGCAGTACACCTGGGCACTGGTCTACACGTTTTGTAAGCACTATTTCAGCAACATGGCACAGTGCTACAAGCTGCTGTTGGTGGATTATTTGACCAATAGAAACAGCAAATCACGCAGGTTGAGTGCCTTTCTCAAAGCTGCACAGATGTTAGGTGTAGAAGGTGGGACTCCAGCCCTGGTCTTTGCATTTCATCCTCCCAAATGCCAAGAAGGATAGACTGTCTCCAAGAAGGCTGGAAAACCTGAACGCACAGGCATTTTACTTCCTAGGAGTAAAGCCCACATGCTTAGTCAGTTGTGATAACTAATGTAGCCCAAGCATAATCATGAGGAAAACACCAGACATGCTCCCATTGAGGATGTGCTCAAGGTCATGAAAAACAGAAAATCTAAACCACTATAATAGACCAGAGGAGACGAGGAGACAGGCAGGGTAAAACCAACATGATAGAAGAAAGACACTAATAGAAAAACTAGTAAACTCTGAAGACATTCCAGAGTTTAACGTGGTAATGTACTTACTGGTCTTCCTTCCCTCCCCTCCCTTCCCATCCCTTCCCCTTTCTTTTCTCCCTCCCTTCTTCCTTCTTTTGACCTACATAGCCCAGATTGGTCTGGAACTCTCAATCCTCCAGCTTCAGCCTTCCCAGTGCTGGGATTACATGTGTGCACCACAATGCTTGGTTCAGTGTTTGTACCATAGTTGTGTACAATGATTGCATCAGAGGAAACCAAAACCCAGGTGAGAGTCTACAGAACCTTCTGGACTATCTTTGCAACTTTTCTGTGTGTCTAAGTTCATCTCAAATAAAAAGTTTTGAGTAAAACTAATTTAAAAACTAAACTTTGGCCAGGCACAGGTGATTCTCACCTGTAATCCTAGCTACTCATGAGGCAGAGATCAGGAGATCATGGTTGGAAGCCAGCCCAGGCAAATAGTTTGTGAGACTCTATCTTGAAAAAAAAAAACAACACAAAAAGGCACTGGTGGAGGAGCTCAAGCAGTAGAGTGCCTGCTTTGCAAGTGTGAAGCCCTGAGTTCAAGTCTCAGGCCTACTAAAAAAATAAAAAAAAAAACCTCCTAAACTTTGAGCCATTTCTGCAATAGCTCACCCTCCCACCTGCCCCAGATCACTTCTTCCCAGACTACCGCCCCAGCCTTCTCCTGGCCTCTTGCTTCTTGTCACAACCTCCCCAAGTACCAGAGGGATCTTTCCACTCTATAGTTCTCAGCAGAGGGTGACTCTATCCCTCCTGGGGCATCAGACAATGTCTGGAGACACTTTTGGTCATCAGAACTGGCAGGACAGATACACTGGCTTCTATTCGGTGAAGGCCAGGGACACTGCTCAACACCCTACAGAGCCCAGGATGGCCCCACAAAGAATCATTGGAGCCACAAGTAGGGGTGCACACCTGCAATCCCAGCATTCGGGAGGCTGAGGCAGGAGGATTGTCAGTTTAAAGCCAGCCTGGCCTACATAGTGAGTTCCAAACCAGTTTGGGCTATGTAGTGAGACTTTGTCTCACAAAACAAAATAAAAACAAAAAAACAAGCAAAAGAGAACCACCTGTCCCACTGGCCAAAGCACCGAAGTTGAGAAATCCTGTGTTGTTTTTCTGAATTAAACTTCTATTTTTCATTTATTCTTTCCAGCTTTATTAAAGTTTAATTGACCAATAAAAAGTGTGCATATTTAAGGTGTATGGGTGATGTTTGTATGGGTGATGTATACATTGTGAAATGATTAAAGCAAACTAATTAAATATTCACTTCATATTCATATGTACATATATAATACATACAATTTTTTTCTTTTTCAGTATAGGGCTTGACTCCTACACAAGCATTCTATCACTGAACTACAACCCTCAGTTGTATTTTTTGTTGCTGTTGTTCTTGGGACTGGGATTTGAACTCAGGACCTCGCGTTTGCAAAGCAGGAGCTCTACTTGAGCCACACCTCCAGTCCATTTTGCTCTGGTTATTTGGGAGATGGGGTCTCATGAACCATTTGCCTGGGCTGGCCTCGAACTAGTGCCAGGCTTGCATATCTTATTATTGGCTGTATTCCTAGTACTTAGCACAGTACCTAACACATTAGAACTCCAACCAGTGTTATGAATGGAGGAAAGACATCATGGTATAAACTATCTCTAAATTAACAGTTTTTCAGGAGCCTTATAAAATATTCTTCCTTTCCCCCTAAATTTCCTTAAATCTTATATTGATCTCAGTGAAGTAGAAATTTAAAATTACACTATTTTCTTCTATTATTCATATTTTCATTAAGTTCAGCCAGGCACAGTGGATCATGGCTGTAATCCCCCCTATTTGGGAGGCAAAGATTGGAGCAATCAAGGTTTGAGGCCAGCCCAGATGGAAAGTTTGTGAGACCCATCTCAATCAATAGCTGGGTGCTGTGGTGGTGCACAACTGTCATCCCAGAATGTGATCCAGGCAAATCTGGGCAAAAAAAGAAAAGAAAAGTGAGACCTTATTTCACAAATAACCAAAGCAAAAATATCTGGAGGCATGGCTTAAGAGGTAGAGCACTGCCAGGCACCAGTGGCTCATGCCTATAATCCTAGCAACTCAGGAGAATCAGACTAGGAGGATTGTGGTTTGAAGTCAGCCCAGGCAAATAGTTCTCAAAACCCCATCTCCAAAATAACCACAGCAAAATGGACTGGAGGAGGGGTTCAAGAGGTAGAGTGCCTGCCTAGCAAGCGTGAAGACCTGAGTTCAAACCCCAGTCCCACCCTCCAAAAAACTGTGCAATTCCTATATGCTAATAATTAAAATAATAAAAAGGGGAAAGAAAAGAGGAAAGCAAAACAAAGTATGGTTTCTACTGAATGAGCATCACTTGGCACCACGGTAAAGTTGAAAAATCATGAACCACGGTAAGTCAGGTCCATCTGTGTATATCATACAATGATATATCACACGTATCAATAGCATATATAATTGTGCATATTTATATAGAAAATGCTACATTCATAAACATTATAGCATGTATAATGCAATCATACATTGCCCTAGACCAAAAGGGAATTTCTCACCAGGAAAATAACTTTGCCTTATAGGAGATGTGGGGTGACCCTTTTTGGATTCATTGAGACTGCACCCTGAGTCTAGGGCAGGGCACGCCCCTCACCCCTGTCTGTCCTGAGCTGCGGTGGGGGGGAGCAGTGAGAGTGGAGGGCTGGGGACAGCAGTGACTTCTTTGTCACCTAGTAGAGGAAGGATCCACAGAGAGAGCGGGGACCTCTGAACACCCACTGGTTTAAGCCTTAACTCTGCCGCCGTTTATAGCTGGAGCAGCTGGCTTCATCTCTTTGTGTCTTCATTTCTTCATCCTTAAGGATGGCTCACGGGCTCAGCACAGCAGTGACTTCCCAGGGTCACCCTGAGGAGTAAATGTGATAATAATCCCTGCACAGCTGCTAGAAGGCTGCCTGGCACCCGGTCCTAGCTACATCTGTCTTTGCAGCTCTTACAACTTATCAAGTGGCACTTTGGGGCTGGCATACAGTAGAGGGCAAAGAAGGACCCCTGACGAGCTGACAGTCTGC